TTAAGATCAAAAAAGAAAGAAAAAACTGTTTAAATATTTTAAAATAATTAAAAGAAATAAAAATTCACATTTAAAAAAAAAAGGAACACTCAAGTCAGGAGGCCATTGCTTCCCATCATAATTTGCTCTGAACAAATGTGGTGGATATTTGTAATTCATGTTCCAATGCCACAACTGTTTCGAGTGACAAATCGAAGAGGATCTGGGTATTTCCATGACTATAGTGACAGCTGTAACAGGTGCGTTGGGTTCCTTACGTTTGTTTATTTGTTAAATTCTGAAATGGGGCGGGAGGGGGAGGGGAAGGGCAGGGGTTAAGGAGTCCATTTTCTATTAAAATATAGAAGTTATTGCAAAACCCTAACTGTAAAAACGCACCAATATAATTGGATTTTGTATACAGTAGCTAAAGATTCCCACGCTCTCAGTGTGATGGTGAATTTGCCTGGCGGAAGGTTGACAAATCCCCCATCCACTTGCCCTGCCTCAAGAGAAAAACCACACAAACCAGACAGCTAGAATTTGGATCTCTGAAACATTTTTAAATAAGTTGTCCATAGGACAACTGGCTCAGCTCCTTTAGGATATTTCCAGGTTATGCTTTCTGCAAGATGTTGGCTGTTTTTATCTGATGCTCACTTGCCCCCTTCCTCCCCCTTCCCCAGCATCCAAGGACAAGTAAGGCTCACAGTTTATCAATCTCCCTAAAAACCAGGCTACTCCCTTTTCCCATAAAATTCAACTCATTAAAAACAGGTTAAAACTCATAGTCTTCCTCTGCCATGTCGATAGCCCAGGCAAATTTCTCTCGTTGGGTTTTGTTATAAATCTTCTCTATAGGAATTCCCCACTTCTTACACCTGCAGGAGAGGAGACAATGTCAGAGATGAAAGGGAAGGCCAGAGACATTGCCCTCAGCCACAGACCTCGTCTGCTACATGGGGGGACAAGGAGAAGTGATGGGGTGGATCACCCCAGCACAGCCCAGGCAGGTGCTTACCAAGCAACAGAGATCCTGGGATCCAGATAGTTGAGTTTGGAGGTGCCCAAAGCAATCTGCTTGTTCTCCTCCCTATCTGTAGCCTGAACCTCCAGCTTCATCAGTTGCTCCTCGATCCTCTGCACTGCTTTCTTCTTGCTCTCCACTGTCCTGGGGTGGGAAAAAAGCAAGGAATTAAATTCCTTATGCCCTGTAAGGCGTGAGCTGGCAGTGCTGTGGAAACCCAAAGGGATTCTGCTCAAGGTAAGCAATGTCACCAGCCACCAAGGGCAGCTGTGTCAGCACAGATGGTGACACAAAACACTCAGCACACGCAATTAAGAACTGACATTTTCAAAGAGGCAGAGCAGGAATCCTAAGCAGCAGTTTTGTTTTAAAGGGTTGGAAGCAACAGCCTGAAGTGTACTGATGCTACTCCCACTTCCAAACCAGCCCATCCATCCCTCAGTAAGAGTCATGCTGTGATCCTGCTTTCAGAGCTCCCACAACTCAGCACCCCTGTGGCTGTTCTGCAGAGCTCACACGGAGCACGAGTACATCGTCTGCGCTGTGGGCTTCCAGCTGGGAGAGCAGAACTCGGGCAAGTGCCTGTGCAATTAACTGTGTAACTCCTGGCTCCCCAGTCAGACAGCAATGCTGCACTCTGGATCTGTCCCTCTGTGGGGTGGGTGAGCACTGGTGGGTGCTCAGCAAGGAGGGCTGGGCACGAGTGACCATGTCAGGAACGGCAGTGTCAGACCACCCCATGAGTGACCATTTCTTCACACACGGAGTAAAAAGGGGAAAAAAACCTTCCCAGATCACAGGCCAGGGAAACAGAATGCAGGATGAAGTACTCCTTCTGGGAGCACTGCACAGCCCAGGAACACCAGCCTTACTTTTTAGACTTCTCATCCCTCCGGACCTTGGCATCAGCTTTGGCGCTTTTCAGTTCTCTCCTGGCATCAGCTAACTGCTCCTTCTTGGCATCGATCTAGGAGAGGCAAAACCAGAGGGCAGCACCGTGAACAAGCTGCTGACAACTGTGGCAGTCTCCCCTGGGCACCATGGCCCAGGGAGTGAGTTTGTGACCATGTTCAGAATCTACCAGTGGTCAGACCCACTTCTACAGAACAACTGGCCATTGGCCTTTCAGAGTGCTGCAAAGCTGAGTGTGGTGAGATATTCCCCTCAGACAACAGGGCCCCACTCATTTCCAAAGACAAGGTGGTGCTAGGAGCTTTCCCACACAGTACAACCAAGCAGGCAAGGGAATTGTTTTGGTCTGGCCTGGCCAACAGCCCCTCCAGGCAGCTTGTCTGACTCCACTGTATCCTGCCAGTATCACCACTGTTCCCTCAGCAGAAATCAGCCCCAAATCCTACACACTGAAGGGTGTTAAGGCTTCAGGCAGTTCTTCTCCAGTAAGTTTAGGATTCAGGGAGATTTAGCGTTTTGCAGCCCCTGTTCAACCATTCCCCTTACACATCCTCAAGCTCTAAGATCTAGGGTGAAGGCAGCCATGTTAGGTGTTACAGAAGCAGGGGACACTGCAGTGCCAAACCAGAAGTCCTTATTGTGAAGGTTATTCTAAAGCCAGACCAGAAACAGACCTAACCCCTTTGGACCTCATGGCCTTCACCAGAAACAATCTGCAAAGGAAGAGGTCAAGTCAGAGGGGCATAATGTACCTTGTACACAGCCTGCACTGACAGTGGCCTGGCATTTACACAACAGGGGTGGATTCTCACTCTGGGTTCTTTAGGGGACATAGATCAGAGACAGAGACTGCTGCTCTGGAGCTTCAATGGTAGCAGAACACAGAGCTATGGGATGAAGGGCAGAAAAAGGGCCTGGTCTTGTTCTTTTCAAGTATAAAGCAGCTCAGTCCCTTTCAGCTCACTGCTCCTCTCTGAGCAGGCACATCTCTGATGCAGCAATACCCAACTCCTGCCAGGGAAAAGCAGGCTCTGCTTCCATTTCACCCCAAGTGAAAGGAATCATGACCCCTGAGAAGCAGCACTTGCAGCCCTGCCCTGACCCCAGAGCTGGGCAGGGGGGAGGTACCTTGCTCTGCAGGTTCATCATGGACTTCTCAAAGGTTTTGGGTGGAGCTCTCTGGTGGTTGCACAGAATGGCCACCGCTCTGTTGGCACGGTTATAGGAGAGGATCTTCGCTGGGATGTTGTCATCCGCTGTGAAGGACAGGCAAAGTGGTGAAGGTGTGGGTTCTCCAGGGTGTGCAGCCCCAGCCAGTGTCCCACCAACTGCACACTCACAGTCACTGCAGAAATAACCTTCCCCTCCCATGGGCCAGTCCCAACACTGCACTCTAATTACAGCCCAAAGGGCCTGACCACTTCCATCTCAGGCCCTAACTCCTTCTGCTATGTTTGTTTCATCACCATTGACACCATCTGTTAACTCCAGAGAGAGGAAGCACAGCCATGCTCAGAGCAGAGGACAGCAGGACACCACTGCTTCACAGATCCAACATGCCCAACTTTGTAAAGCTGCAAAGTGCAAGACAGCAGTGCTCACAGAGGCTGTAAATGAGCAGCCAAGAAACATGGGCCTGCTACAGATGCATCTGCCTTGCCTGTCATCTACAGCAGAAGGCAAACAGATTTGGTAAAGGACAGGCACAACCTAGCAGGCACACCCTGGTGTGTTCACAAGTTGCTTCTGCCCTGCCCCAGTGCTGGGCTGCTCAACTACCCCCAAAGATTGGCAGCAGGATTTTGGTCAGACCTCAGCTGCCTGACATTTGTGCTGAGAACTGCAACGAGGAAGTGGTGAACAGATATACAGCTTGTGGCTCAGCCAAGGAAGCCAGGTCTGTATCACAGCATAAGATCTGTTCCCCCCTCACCGTGTCAGGGACAAGACTTACGGTTAGTGAGCTCCTTGAGCTGCTGCTGTAGCGTGATGGAGGCGTTGTAAGTACGGAATACCTTGGCTGTCAGTCCCTCCATAAGGTCCTGAAGGTGTTTATTTAAGATACTGGTCTAAAAGGAGCAGAAAGGAGATGACAGTCAGCACTAGAAGTGACCACAGCATTTGTGAAATCTCCAGACTCACAGCTGGTGAGGACACACAGCTCACAGCTGAAGCCTGGTGTACTCAGACCTGACCACAACACAATAGCCACAACATTACTGAAACCACAGGAAAAGTGAACAAAGAACTAACGAGTATTAGATTGGTAACAAGTACCACAAGTGGCCAAAAGAGATTTCTTCAGTGTGGAGGCTTTGGTTTCCAACAGGTACAGAAGTGCCTATCCCATCCCAGGGAAGGTGCCTGAACCACCAGTGCTCCCACAGAGCCAAGTGTGCAGATGGGGATGGTATCTCAAAATCTGTCACCTCACACATTCACCATCTCTGAACTCTGAACAAACCTCCCCAAGTCAGAGCCAGACAAGCTCACCAGGACCAAGGCCCATCACTTCAGGAACCTGTGGGCACAGTGGATAATAGAGACACCAGACTGAGACACTCTCACTGATTTTAGCCTCCTCTGGAAGGAAATTGCCTCTGAAACCATTTCTGGAACAGAGCAGCTGTTCCTGCCTGGTGCAGAAGGAGCCTGTTCATGGGGCTCTACCACCCTCACCATGAAATACTGCTTACATTGAGGCGGTCAAAGAGGTCATCCTCAGGCTGCTTGTTCTCCATGAACAGCTGAAGATTCTTAAACACCTGCAGAAAAAGAAAACCAGGAACTTCAGGCACACAGACCAGACAGTGCTGAGCAGTAGTAAGACATATGGAAGCAGTACTGCCAGGGTGCCAATTAGACTGTTTTCAGGGAACAGCAATGATGCCGGATGTTACCTCCCAGCAGGCAAAGATCCACTTCTCAATGCAACACTTGCATTGCAGGTTCTTCCCCAGCAACAGGAGCCCTGAGCCTTTATCCTCATCCTTTAGATCAAAATTGCAGGAGACTCTGCTCTGGCTTAACTGCCTAACACAGAAAGAGACCCCAAAGCTACTGCCTTTCTCTTACTCTCCATCATTACTCCAGCCAAAGTGACCCCCTCAAGCCATTTCCCATGGAGTGAGGCTATCAGAAACCAACCCTTCTCACTACTGCATTGTTTCATACAATTTCATGCCAAACAAGTCTCACTGGGGTAGGGAGAATAATCAAAACATCTTTGATTATAACAGAGACCACAAATTCCAGCTCTGCATGCTCCAAATCCCCAGCTTCTCAACAACACATTCTTCTACAGACACCCAATATACAAAGATTTCAAGTTCCACAATAATCAATTCCCCATTGTAAGCACAGAAGAGACACCAAGAGACACCAACACCTATAAATTTATGCAGAAAAAGATGTTTTCCTCTTTAAACAAGGAAGGAAGAATTCCAGCATATGTTAATTTCCATAGCAGATGTAGTTGTGATTTTTCAGTTGTTTTGCTCCCCAAGAGGCTGTTACAACTACCACAGTATCATACACAGAGTATCTCACACACTGTGCTGACTGCAGAGCTCTGAGCCAGATGCAAAACTGTTATACCCACAAGACCAAAAGTCTTTTTGGACAGTGCCTTCCAGGTTCACACAGCTGGATGGAGATTTATTCTGCAATGAGGTCAACACCACAGCAAATTTGAAATTAGGGGATGACAATGAAATAGAAGAACTGACACTGCATAAGAAGGAAGGCCTGGCTGGTAGATACCCAGGTTCATGGCCCAGAGGTATCAGTGCACCTACTCCATATGCTCTGGAGCACCTGTGATCAAGACCCTCACCGAGAGCTCAGCTCCAACATGAACCAAACCCTTGTGGCACAGAATTGGTATCAATAAAGCCCAAGTCAAACTGCTGCTCTAACAGTGCTGGCCAGCACAGTATTTTCAGGACCTTTTATACTGTTATTTGTCATGCAGGCCTAGAACTCTACCATCTACAGGTTGACAAAACTAAACTGCTGACCAGAAAGAGACCCAAGAAACTCATCTAACATGGCTGTTACAGTTATGTTATGCCAACTCTTCACACTGAGACCACAGGGAAGAGCAGTAAGATGTTTAACCACCTCATCTGCTCGGCCGTGTCCCACCATCTCCCACAGCACTGCCAATAAAAAGAAGGTAACATTAACGGACTTGTTTTCTGGCTATGAATCTGAGCAGTGACAAAGAAACTTGTTACTGCCATCAAAACTGTGCTGACCACATTTCTGTGCAATTCAGCCTGTGCATGTGCTTGTGGAGGTGCCTTACCCTCTTCTCCACAGGGACCTTGTTGTAGTATCGGATGGAATCTTTTCCGAGGAAGTCAAACTCAACCACGTATTCCTGACCATCCAGCTCAGGATGCAGCTTGATGTGCTCTACCCTCAGAGAGCAGCAGCCCACGGTGTCAGCTGTCTCTCCTTCTTCCTTTTCATTACCAGCTCTCAGGGCAAGCTACATTTGTATCAAGAGAAGAGAGGTCAGCATTTCAAACCACCCCCAGAACAGAGAGATGCTGGAAACTTCCAGACACTACCTAGACTCAGCAGTGTCCAGAGGAGAGAAAGGAAGAAAATTCGTTTCAGTGGATAAAACTGACACAGCGACAAATTTATCACAATATCTCCTTTTTTTTTTAAAGAGAAGTTTAAGCCCGGATGTTTTACCAACTTTAAGTAACTCAATCTGTGAGACAGCTCTGACTAATCTAAGCTCATTTCAAGACGTGTGGTATTCTTTTATAATCAAATTGCCTTGCATGTGAATTCGACTTGAAACAAATCATTCAGTTCAGTTGCAAATCTTTATGCTTCTACCTATTCACTGCATGCTAAATACACTTCAAATACCATACAGGTAATATAAATATTGGGTTATACAAATTATCTAAAGGTTACATCTGGTTGCATAAAAATATGTATTTTAACAGCACCAGCTAAACCTATTTCTAATATTTGGAAAAACCCTTCAGTGTTCATATGAAACCACAATTATTCACATCAAAGTTCTCTGGTTTACATCAAACCTTTCTGAATAAAACCTGTTAATTTAGCTGGCCAAGACACCACATGCTACCAGGGAACAGCACTCTGGGAACTGGTTTTATGTCAGTTTAAATGTATCAACACAACTGCAGTTTTCTTTAAGCTGTGGTGAAAAAAAATGAGCATAATTACAAAACCTCACAACTGTGACCTCAAAACTGAAAAGGTGACAAACCAGCAGAAATTCCCAGCAGGAAAACTGAAACAGCTGGAGACAAAAGGCCCACATGAACTTCCCAGTAATCCAACTGGGCAATTCTGGAACCAGGCTGTGAATTTTGCCTGAACTAAACAATGCTGCCTGAAATAGCCATGTTCAGTACAATAGTTCACTGCTCTGGATTCCAGGTAACGGGAGGAAAAGGAGGTGGGAGTCTGCCCACCAGGAAGTCTCAGGACACCTTAGTAACTGGGCTCAATTCTGCCTTGGAGACAAACATACAGCATTCCCAAGCATTCCCAGCAGGAGAGGGGAGATGAGAGGAGCTGCTGGGGAAGGAGCCTCACCTTGTCAATGAAGTACAGTGCCACAGCTCTCTGCCGCACCTTCATCTCTTTGGATTTCCAGTCTTCTCGGTACTGATTTCGGATTTTATCTACACACTTCTTCAACCTCCGAGCTGTCTCGTACTTCTGCCAGTCCTTCTCACCCTGGTGGGGAAGTTGGAAGAGAATCAGCATTGGAGAGCAGGCAAAGGACCAGTTCCAATCTGCATCTTAAGGCTTTGCAAGCCTGTGTGTGGCAAACGTTCTCCCTGCACAAAGCACAGAGCTCTTCTGCTCGGCAGCTCAGCTCCACACTGTGCTGCCACACAGCTGCAGGTCATTCAGATTTCCATGATATTAAATGCTTCCACGGAAGCAACTCTAGAGACACAAAAGATATGTCTTCCCTGCTTCTCAACATATAAATGGCTTCCTCTGCTTTATTCAGATGACACTTATGTTCTTTCAGCTGTGTAATTAAACACCCATAAAAGGTAAAAGCAACATCAACAGTTCATCATCATTATTCTATATTCAAGCTGTAACAAAAAAGGGCAGGAATTCACAAGGAACAGAGATTTTACTTTTTTTTTCCCCTAGACCTGTAGGACAAACACCTTGTTACAAATCCAGGAAAAAAATCCCTTAGACAAAGACTTACTGAGAAGAGCTTAAATCCTTGATTTTATGGGCTTGATCTGCTGATGAGCTATTTGCTCCCACAGCAGGGTTTGTTTTCCTTCAGTCATGAGCTCCTTACCAGGTTTTTAATTTTACAACTGACTAATTAACAAATCCATGGTTAGAACTTCACTGCATGATCAGGCAGAGAAAGTTAAGGCCCAATGTAGGTAAAATATCCACCAGAGTGAGTCTATTCTTGGATAAATCACATCCTTTTAGGTTTACACAGGTTAAAGGAATCCTACTAGGAATGACACACAATGATGCTTTTCAGGAGACATTTTCCAGATTTCACCTGCTCTGCTGGACAGTAACTCTACTGTCTCTTTTCAAGAGGGAACAGAAGCTTCCCCATGTTTTTCAATCACTGTAGGATGAAATAGCAAAGCAGCTTTACCTCTTATCTCTCTCCTAACCAAGAGCTACATTTCCTTCTTGGAGACATGACCATGAAGACGGTATTGTTTTGGTTTTTTTTTTTAGCTAGGTCTTTACCTTAATTCTTGAGCTAGGGTTCAACATGATGTATTTGATAGAGCCTTGGATGTTCTCAGTCCATGACACCAGCCAGGTAACCTTGTTATCGTGCCGGACCTCCTTCCATTTGTGTCCTGGTGGAGGGGCAGGGATCTTGGAATCCCTGCATTAGAAAACAAAAACTACTTAAAGAAACTCCCACCAGTATCCAAGTAAAGAAAGTAATGAATAGCATCACACAAAGAAAGCACAGAGAAAGAAACTGAGGTAACGTAAGTACCTATCACACAAGCAGGAAACCAAGTGAATCAAAGTGAACAGTCAAAGATCAGGAATGTAATTGCTACCAGTATGTCCCTGCTGAAGAGTTACAGTATAGGCAGGACACACATTGCTAGGACCAGCTCTGATTTGCACACCCTGCACTAGTGTTCACACCTATCAGGACTAGTCTGAAAAGAAGCCCACCTAACCTTAGCCTTCCACACCAAGGAAGACAAAATAGGGCAACTTGTCTAGAAGAAAATTAATTTATGGAAACACCAGCAGGAAGGACTGTGGAAGCAGATGTAGGCTGTTGGCATGAGGAAGAAAATATGTTGACAAAGCTCTACATGAAACCCATGCTAGTCTTGCTCAGTCTGCTTGTATGACTCAGTTTCTTATCTGTATAAGATAAGCAGCATCCCTACTTCTACATGCTTGAATATCAATCTAGATAGGGTTTTAAAAAACAAGCAAAGCCAAGGTGTGAAGCAAGCAGCACTCACTTGCTGCAGTTGATGATGATGTCTTCTGGCATGATGCGTCTCTTCAACATGCCCATTTTGGGGTGGTTCCCACGACCTCGGAAGAGACCTGGGGGTTCAATCTTAAAGTTGGCAATCCTCTCCTTGTGGTTGTCCATCACACAGTACCCATATTCCTTCAATAGCCGCTCATTCTCCTCTTTGATTTTCTGGAAAAAGCCAAAAGTGCAGATGAAAAAACATACCCAGCACCACACACAGCTTTGAATGTCAAGACTTAGAGAACCAGGTTCCCATCACGGCAGGTGTTATCAGACTGGCCACAGAGCAGCAGACTGGCCAGAAAAGCATTCATAAAACACAAACAGCACAAACTGGAAAAAGGGAAAGAATGTGCAAAAACTCCCTGAAAACTTGTATTTGAGGGAAACAGATTAGTGCTGGTGGAGGCAGCTAAATTTTGTCACAGGAGGCATATACCTCTACCCACATATCACAGCTATAAGGGCAGTCCCAGCTCAGAACTGCTGCTTTATAATCTATATTGAGCACTTGGCACCCACTGGACTTTACATCTTGTTTATGTATAAAAACTCTGTGTATAAAAGAGTTCTGTGTCTGAACTCCTCATCAGAAAACAGGCAAAGGAATGTCTCCAGGCTGCTGCATGTCAAGCCTGTGTCAGCAAATGGTCTCATAAGCAGAACACAGTCTCCTAAGAAAGAATGTGCTGAGATTTCACTGCATACTTCTGTGCCTGAACTCTAATTATATAGAAGGAAAAATAAAAACATTGCAGCTCAAAATAAAACATCTGACCCATAGACAGCACTGCTGCTCCAGCTAAGAAAGTAATAGAAAAAGCCACTTCTGCTCCTTTGCAAGAACTACCACGGACAGGAACTGAAGGCCTTGTCCACATTTACCAAATGGAAAACAGCAGTAAGACATGGGCTCTCCATTTTGGTGGGATCCCTCCAACCCCAAAGGCTGCAGTTCCAAGATACCAGGCCCCTCACTCAAAGGGTAATTACTAGATCGTTGCAAAAGTTCAACTGAGAACTTGGGGAAAGTTTCCAACTTCCACTGCAGTTAATTTAATTCTCTCCCTACAAGTCACTGTAGCCATGCTATTGGATAATAAAGCTAATTTTTATTCAAAAAACAGCATTACCTGATGTTGAAGACTTCTCCTCTCATTCCATTCACTAATGGCATTGCAGCATCCCTTCCACCATCCTTATCTGTCCTTCATCTATCCACTGCTCATTATTGTCCAGGGACCAACGATCTCATGGAGGCAGCACCTCTGTTTCTCTTTATTTACTTAACTTCACTTAAGCAGTCACTTAACTTTATTTACCTAAGCAGGATCAGCCCTACCAATATCATTTCAAGTCAGGATGAAGATTCAGCTGTAAACACAGTGCTCTGCCCTACCTGAGCTGCACAGTACAGACTCCTACAGTCAACATGAAAGTAATAATCTGAAAGCTAGTGAAAACACTGGCATATGAACAGCAAGGCAGGCAGAGGAACGATTACACAAAGATGTTTACAAGCCAGCTAAGAATCACAAAGTCTCCTAGAATTCCCTCTGGTACCTGTTTCTCCTCCTTGGACATCTGTTTCCTAGCTTCCGACTGAGCTTTGAAATACTGGCTCATGTGGGTGAAGTCACACTTGCTGAGGCTGGTGATAGTGCTCTTCTCTTCAGAGGTCATTTCCTTGCAGAAAAAAAGCAGAGCTTTAAGTTTTCATACACAGCAGAACTTATCCGACCCCGAACTTACTCCACCCTAGGCAGCTTGAACAGAAAATAGCAGCAGGTTCTCACAATCAAACTCCCCAAATTCTTGCACAGAACGAAGTCCAAGAGGAAAGGAGAAGCAGCAGAGCCTATGGAGCACAGGCCTTGCAGCAGTCTGAGCTCTGCAAGCACTGGGCAATGCTGCACAGCTTTCCAAAGCTCTCTCACACCCAACTGTGGCTAGGATCACTGAGGGACAGGGAGAAAAACCTACCCAGGAAAACTGCATCAGACTGATCTAAAGATCTGATATTATGGCTGATGACTGAGGTGAAGTTCTGAGATTTTTAGGTCTTTGGAAGGTGTTTCCTGGCTCTTCCATAAGGCACATAACAGGCAGGTCAGCTACACCCCATCACACTGTTAACAAGCAAATTTGGTTGGGAGAAGCCTGAGTTTGTTGGTTTAGGAAAGCATTTATGAAAAGGTTCTTCCCAGTGAACGACAGTATAAATGGGAAACTTCATAGCTACGTTCTGAGGCAGCTTTTAGTTGCCTCAAGCCAATTTTTGTGTGCATGGAACAGTAACTCCTATTCACTGCCCAGTGCTGAGGAGACACTGACTGTGCACTGCAGTCACTGCAGCCCAGCACTATGTGCATACCTTCCTCCAGTCTTTGAAAAAGTTTTTCCTGAAGATCTCCTTTGTAGTGTACTCATGATCAAGCATTTTTGCAAAGAATGTGGCAACTTCTTCTGCTTTGGTACTCAGCTTCATGACTTTACCTACAAAGAAAAGTTTACTTTTTAAAGGAAATGGTAAACAGGAATCAAAGCCAGAAAAAGGCCACAGTAACTACCTTAAAGGATTGTATTTTTACCATGGTTTTTCTTTAAAATGTTACATAACACAGCAAATTGAATGGACAAAGGAAACAGAGAAGCACAATTGCTTGACTTTCATCACAAACATTTGGAAAAAAGTTTCCTCTGGAATCTAAACATTACAAAAAAGCAAGAGCAATCTGATGTGAGACAGGACTGAGACGCAGGGCAGGAAGGGGAAAAGGAAACCCTCCTCTGAGCCACCCCTGGGGTGGGTACACTCCTGGGGAGATGCTGATTGAAGTCAGAGAGAGAAGGGATTTTATAAAATTGCATATTCTGGCACTCAGACACATATGGCAAATGCAGTCCCTGTATTCCTCCTCATCCCACGGAGGGACTCCGCCTTGGAACACCCCTCTCCAGCCTCTAGCTATTTCTAGGCAGGAAGAGCCCTTCCTATGGATGCACCACAAATAGGCTGCAAAGCCATGCCAAATATTGAGCTCTCCTTCATTGCAGGGAAACGTGTCAGGATGCTGTTAATTGTTCCCTGTGCTGTGGGAATGCACTCCTGCCTCTCTAAACCAGGCTCCAAAGCCAGGCATTTTTAAGGAAGACTGAGCTGTCAGTGAATGGAGAGGTCACATTCCAGCTTCTCTGCACGACTGCAGTACAAAGTGAAATTGCTGCAAGGGAAGGCTGTAAAACACAAGGGAGAAGAGGCTGCAGCAACAGTGAAGCTGCGGATTCCACATCTAACGCGCCTGTCGAGCATCTTCTTGGTCCAGACTGCATTCCTGATGAAACGTGGGGTGCCAGTGATCCCTGTGAAGGATTTTGCATGCAGCTCACATCTACAGCTAGTTGCAAGAAATATTTAAAGTTCCAATGGGCTGGCAGACTGTCAATACCTGTGGGTTTTTTAACGACCATTTTACTGCACAAAAGTGAACACGACAAACTGTTCAATCCATGCTCTTGGAGAAAAAAAAAAACCCAAACCACCACACTTTTGATTTACTACATATTTTCAAAAGTTGCATCATCTCCAAAATTAAAGCATGAGAGTCAGCTATAAAGCCTTAAGATCTATAAACCCTCGTAAAACAGGACTTAGCAAAAGGTCCTCCCAATGATCTGAGAATATTCCACAATTAAATTAAACCAACAGTAACTCTGCCAATTTTGAAGCTGTAACCTAAAATACAGCATTTGTTTGCTTATAACAGGAAATGGGGGAAGGGAGAGACAGCAAGGGAAACTGTTTTTCCAGGCTGTAAGTCTAGCTTGAAAGAGGCTATCGAGTTAGCAACGTGTTATGGGGCTAAAATGTCTGATATTTTTCCCAAACAGCTGAGGGCTCAGTTGCCTTTATCCAATCACTTTATAATATATTTCATCGGATTCAGTTTCCTCCTTTTTTACAAAGGATTTGAAAAGTGACAGGACTGGACACTTAAAGGAAAAAAAGGGATTTATTCCAGAATATTAGTTGCACGATTAAAAATCCTGAAAACCAGAGAGCAACCAGGGGACATAATGAGCTGAAGAGACCATGTGGCCATGGACTGAAGAGCAACTGCCACCACCTACACCCCGACCTTGCTCCATCTACAGCAAAATATGCAAGTGTCAGCCACCTCTGGGCTACAAGCAGTGGCTGCTTAACCCACAGTCACTCAAAAAAAGATTGCTTGGGCACTTCAAGCTCCTTCCCCGTGTCAGTATTGTAGGCACTAACAATAGCCCCTGCAGTCATTATGTGAGATGAAAACAGGCAGGTCCCACTGCAGTGCAATCAGCAGGCCAGGACAGATTCCTCCAGTGTGAGCCCACAGCCTGGCAGCTGGCTGGCCAGCACAGCCTCATTACTGGGCTCCACAAATCATCCTGGGATAATCTTGAAATTAGACAATGGCTTGTGAGCACAGACAGTGGCTCTCAGCAGCTGCTGTGTAAATCAGACATCTGATTTTTTGCCTAGTTTCTCAAGGAAGGCTTATGTGATGCCTTTATTTGCCAGACACCCCCCTTGCCCTCCCCATGACTGTTGAGCTTATTGATGAATTTCTGCGATGACAGAGGCAGAGGTTACAAAAATCCCTGCAGAGGTTCTGTGAAATAGATGGCTACAGAGACAAGGAGCTTATTGCTGTCTGCACCAAGGGACAGCTACAGTGCAACCTGCCCCTCCCCTTCTCTAGACAGCAGGAGACAGATCATGCATTTTTCAAAAGAGGAAAACAATTTCCAACTTCGTATTAAGTTCTTACCAAAACCTAAGAAAGAAGTCTGCAGACATCCTTGATCACTTGCTTGGAGATGGCCTTTAATAGGCTGCAGTATGTTTATTTCCCTACACCAAGGGACAGCTACAGTGCAACCTGCCCCTCCCCTTCTCTAGACAGCAGGAGACAGATCATGCATTTTTCAAAAGAGGAAAACAATTTCCAACTTCGTATTAAGTTCTTACCAAAACCTAAGAAAGAAGTCTGCAGACATCCTTGATCACTTGCTTGGAGATGGCCTTTAATAGGCTGCAGTATGTTTATTTCCCTACCCTAAATTCCTCGGGATTTAAAAACACTGTGTCATGTCACATCAAAACAGCACGTTGCTCCTGGAGGAGTTCCATGTGCAGATGTCCCCTTCACCAAAAATTACATTTTCATCCATTCAAATACCTCCCACTTAATTCAATCCTGGGTTAATTTGATCCTTCATTTAACATGATCACAGGACTAAAAGGAAACACACGGGTCATCAAGCCCAGGCTCCAGCAGGCATCACATCATATAATCCCTTCCACGTGAGCCTCCAACCACCAGTCAGCCCAGGATATTAGAATCTCACATCAATTAGTTCTACCACACACCAGGGTCACGAAGTGGGACCATGACTTACACCAGAGGGCTGTGTCCTTGCAGCCAGGGTCATCCCATTCATTCCTACAAGATCCTAATCATCTGTATCAAAATTCTATTGTCCTTTATTCCACTCATGCCACCAAATGATCATGAATATCATCACAGATGATGGAAGTTGCAAATTCTTAAGGTTAAAGACAACAGAGCAAGCCTAAAGGCGACCAGGGATGAGGCAGCTACAATTACATACTTCACTGGGCAGACACTGCTACTCTGAGCCATCAGACACTCTCACACTGGTAAGTAAGCTGAGAGATTCACCACCGTAACGGAGAATGGGTTCATCCCTGTGTCACCTCAGTGAGCAAAATTCACCAGGCTGTTCCTTTATTTCCACAGACCATTCTTTCACTTCATCACTGAGGAGCTGCTTTTATGCTAACCACTAAAACAAAACCACCTCCTCAGCAACTCAGGCCCCGGAAGAACACCACAATACCCTGAGAATGTTTATTTCTCTTCTTAGCGAGTAGAAACACTGATTAACTCACCATCATAATAAAACTTGACATTTTCAGGCAGAGGTTCATATGGTGGAGCAAATACAGGACCTTTGTGCTCTAGGAACTTCCATTTAATGCCTTCAGGGTAGCGCTCTTCTTCCCACCTTCAAGAAAGAAATATGAACCAATACAATTTTAAGCTCCTAATCTTCATTTTATTACTGTGTGGGTACAAGAGGATGCTAAAGAAAATCAGCAAGCAATCACTGCTTTGCCAGCTACAGACCAAGAACAAATACTCAATGCCATGTCACCATTTAATTTCTTTTTCCTCCTTTTTTTTCCCCCCACCCCAAAGCACAGTCACGTCCATGAACAGAACACCTTGGGTCTCGGGTTATCTGATGACACCATATTCCTCACCTCCCACTTGCTCCTCTTTTCACAAAATCACACAGCTGAAAATGCTTAGCTCTTAAGAAAATGAAGAACTCAGCCCTGTAAAACAGCTAGGATCATGCCAAATTAGAGTCAGCTGTGATCTAACATCAGGTCCAGGATGCCTGCTCAGCAAAGCCAAACAATTGTGGTATATTATGCAGCTGCTTTCAGATGTGGACAATATGCCATTAAAGGCAGAGATAAAGAAACAGATGCTCATTTACGACTTAAATGAGAACAAACCTGCTTGGACGTAAAGACTAAAACCTGCTCTGTCATTTTAAATTCATTCCAATTCTCTGGGTCAGAAAAAGCACACTAGGAGAAAAACAGAGCAGCATGGAAAACTGCATGTTTGCCTTAAAGAACCTCTAGAATAATGCCTTGCAAATGATGCATTTGGTAGCACAACACAGCAAGGACAGTGCCACCAATCCCACAGCCCAACTGAGCAGGGTCAGCAATTCATCTGCAGAGAAAAGGGTTCCAGTCAGGCCAGTATCCTCCCCCAGGGTCGCAGTGCCCAAGCCACTGACTCCACACTCCTCCCCTCCATGCTGCTTTCAGATTACCACAACATGAGTGCTACATAGGCATAGTGCTGCTGGCATAGGATTCCCTGCTGGGAAAGGCTATTTCACCTTAGTGATCAATCAACTGGAAGACCATTAACCTGTCACAGCATTTGGTCTCTGAATTGCCCAGACAACTTTGCTGACCAGCCAAGACAATTAAAAAAAAAAAAAAAAAAAGGGAGTTTAAGCTTCCATCTAGTGTCAGCCCTATGGAGCAGCAGAGTCCTGTCCTGGGTGCCAGAGCAGCTGAGGAAAGATGTGCATGTCCTGCCTGCATCCCAGGAGTTGTGATGCACATGCACAGATTGCTTCATCCCTGCTGAGATAAAAGTCACTGCACAGAAGATAAGCACTGTATAGAGACAAGAGTTTCTGCTGGAAGACACTCAAAATGCTTCACTGGTGTCTGTACATCAATAATTTAGCAACAGCAGTTGTTTAGGACACAGCAGTTGGCCATAGTTAGAAAGACACCATCTCTGACCACAGCACTGGGCTTGATTTTTTTCTGATGAGAAGCACAGCAACATTTTAACAGCAAAGGGCCCAATCCCAGCTATTAGTACTGAACTGCATGTCAGACTTCAGACTCTGGCTGGGAAGAAAGCTTGAGTAAACTATGTTGATATAAGAAACCAATATTGACACAGATTCCAAATATTTACATTCCAAATGATTGTTGTGTTTTGCTTCTTTTTTAAATTAATTAGAAGCTAGAAATCTAAATATTTTGTCAAACATAGGCCTAGTTTCTTCCACCCAGAAGCTCCTTTCAACCAAACAAATCTAAATCATTGTCCTCTCCTCCCAGCCAGGATAAGCTTATCCTCTCTGACAATGGGTGTTTTTATTTCAGTAAAGTAAGGGGATCATTCACAGTAGTTACTATTTTTCAGACAGGTTTGTCATTCTTGCTTTTCAGCCTTAGCTTTTTTAAATTTATCCCTCTGGTATTTACTTGATGAGAAATTCTGTACCTCTATCGCTTCCTGTTCTTTTACAAAGGACACATGCAAAAGGAGTACTAGAAAGGCAGCAGTTTAAACAGAGAGCTGAAACACATTGTGCCTTTTGGGGAAGGCTACAAGGGAACATGGGATCCATGGGGTGGTTTCTAAGCCCAAAAAGTACCAGAGGGTATGCCACGAAAAGATCACAAACCATTCCAAATCCCACCATCACCTCCCTAAACCTTAAGACAAAAGGCAAGAGTGAACCTCCTGAGTTTAGCCAATTTTTCATCCTCATTTGGTTTCAAAAGAAAAAAAAGAGCATTGCAGCACCACTGCCCTCAGCGGCTTCTGGTTCTGAAGCAAACATTTGACAAAGGGTTTTGTGGGAGCAAGGAGAATGTTGCCTGTTAGGAAAGCTGTGTTACTGATTTCAGCAACAACTGTGCTGATCAGTCACAGAGGTTCCTTGATTAAATCCCATATCAAACCTGTCTAGGAACATCAGGGTGGTTCAGGAAGGTAGAGCTGGGGAGGATTTTTCAAGTGGAATGAAAAGAGAGAAGATTCTTAGGAAAAAAAACAGAATATACCTCAGGGATATGTTATTTCAAGGAAATGAACTTACAGTAACACAAGGTGGGAGAAGTGCTCCTAAGGTGCACTTCTGAATCACATATTCTTCACATGCTGACAGGGCGTGAAAATGACCTCTGAAAGAGCTCCACATGGTGATGAATGAGGCCAGTGCCTTGGGAATGTCTAGCATCAAAAAGTCAGGAGGAAAATGCTCAAGGCAGCAAGCACTTGAGGAAGCAGCCAAAAAAAAAGGTATCAGACTTTCAGAAAATTGACTCAGATGGAACATAAAATGCCCTTAAGAGACACAACTGAAGTGCAGATGAAACCCTGTCCAGCACAGACACGCTATAGAGAGCTGCAGATGGATGACAGGAACATCAGCAGAAGGATGCAGCAACCTAGTGCCAAATTTTGCTAAACATGCTTTCCAAGGCAGTTTTCCTCAGCAGTAAGCACAAACTGCAGAGCTTAACACAGCTACCAAGGCCTGTGCTGCCCAGGCAGGTGAAGGGAGAACAGGACAGCCTTCCAGTAAAGGTTTGCTGTGCAAGGATAGACTACAATAAAAGGGAGCTGTGATAACAGAATATTAAGTTAGAACCAGCAAGGGCAGCTGAGACAAAGCCAAAAAGACAACAGAGCGTTAAGGCTCAAAGAGACCTTCTGTAGCTCCTACTGCTTCATGTCCCTGCAGTTTGTTAAAGCACATTAAATATCTGCTGTCAAAGGGATTGAGAAAAAAGTGGATTGTTCAGGAAGAAAAAAAGAATCAGGGCAGTTTTGGGGAGGGGTTTGAAACCTAAATTTCTAAGGGAGTATACAAGTATGAAAAAGATATGCAAGTGCTGATGTTCTGAGCAGGCTGTGACAATCAAAGAGAAATATGCAAAGACTATAAACACTACAGAAGATTTTTCATTTTAAAGATGAATCAATAAGAGTGACAATAAAAGGGTAAAAGATTGAACCTGAAAGGACTGAAGAAGATTGCAAAGACATTCCCCAACACTACAGATCTATTAAAAACAGCCAAATGATCTGAGAAAAAGAAAATGCTCATGGAAACATCATCTCCAAAAGGTCGTAAAAATACATTAGAGAAGTGCAGAAAACACACATGCTTTGAGAACTACATTTGCATTAAACTGAGGGAAGGACTAAGGCCAAACCTTCAAAACACACAAGTAATAGCTCCTCAAATCTAGCAGTAACAGCTTAAATTACTATGGAGAGAGTTAAAAACCATCCAGCAGGTTTCTCACACAGCACTAGTGATGCAGCACAGGTCTGTCTTCCAAATGAACCATGAAGTTCAGATTTATCTAAAAAAAGGTTCTAAAAAATTCAAGAGTGGGTGAAAGCACAACTTCAGCCACCTTACTTCAGGATCCTAGGCAAGACAGAAAGTGTTTTCCATTCCAAATGTATTTTCAGAACTCCTTTGCCAAACAGCCTGAGCTCAACTGGTCACTTGATCAAGTTCCATTGTTGTGCCAGAGGCAGGAGCAGTTTTGAGAGGCACAGCTGACACCCAGCTAGAATGGTGGACACCCACTCATGCTGTACCTCTATATAACACAGGTAAGTTCTACTAGAACACTAGTTAATGCCTCTGCACATGTTAGTATATTCCTGCTACCCCCCCAAGCCCACAAGCTTTCATTGCTCTGAAGAGTGTCAGCAGGGAGCAGGTTCTGGCCACAATACTGTTATCTGATCGTTATAGGGAGCCTCTACATGACACAGATAGGGGAAAAATCCTGAACAACCCCACAAGAAAATCCAACTTATTTCCTGTTTTAGGGATATCCAAAAAGGTATTTCACTTCTACTTCAGAGGATGAACATAGTGAACGAGCTATTTATTTAGAGCTTACCACAAAGTAAGCCAATTATTCAGAACAAATCCTCATGAATCAACAGAAGAGAAAGCCAGATGTGCTTACTCAGTCAGCAGGGGAGGTACAGGGAAGTCCAGGTGCAGAGGGGAGGCTACAGCACTGACATATAGTTACCATTTCCATTTTTGCTCCTCTTCTTTTTTCGGCTTCTTTCTCTTGTCTGCTTCAGGGACTTTCTTATCTTTGCTCTTAACTTTCTTTGCTTTGATGTCCTGCAAAAGGAGAAGGAATCTGTTAGAACAAGCTACTATCTTTGCCCCTTCCCTGAAAAGATGTCTTAAAGGCATCTCAGAGTCTGTCTCTTGGGGTGCATAAGAACTGAATTCCTGTGGCTTTGCTGCATAAATGTGCTTTTAGATCATCGTATTAAGTCAAAGTCTACTGATGGTCCCACTTAGGTTTTAAGCTGAATTCTTTTACTTTACACTTGGGACGCGCTAAGTGCACACACAGCCAACTATTCTGTCTCACCTGATAAGGGACAAGTCTGGGCCATGGTAATGCGATTGCTTAGGTACAGAACCTCCCTCCCTGGCCTGCACTGCTGTATCTGGTCTGGCAAATGCCACAGAGCACATTCACACCACTTTGAGGTGGCTTCTGGGACAAGATAGAATATGCTCTGTATAGAGACACTCCTTTGAAGGGAAGAATTTCCCATTTCCAGGAGGTGTCTGCAGCAGCACAAGGGTGCCTTTGCGAGATGTGGAGTTCATTAGTCACAAATTACGGCTGACCTGTCTTTTCCAAGACCCTCTCCAAAGAAATTTCCACCCTAGACTCCATCTGAAAGCTTTATGTATCCTTCTAGCATCTAATCTGTTTCATCTCCTCTGCCTCTGAACTGAGCCACATCGTCTGTGCAACTACCACATGTGTTAGTGAGGCTCCTCTGCCAAGCTCCTTAACACAAGGGCTGTGAATTGCCTGGAACAGGCTGGAAGTTCACATCCTGGGGGCATCTTCTCCATCGTTTTAGGAGTAGGAAAGAAAGTTTCCAGACTTTTTATACATCATGGCTCAGGTAAGTGAAACTCCACCACAGGTGGGGATCTGCCACCCACAGCTCTGTCCCAGACAAAATCAGACTTCCCTTGCTTTGCATAATTCCACACCACATAGCATGGCTTTTCTTTCTTTCTTGATTGTACAAATAAACTCATCTTTCACATTACCTCTTCTTCCTCTTGTTTCCTTTTCTTTGCTTTCTTGATGTCTTCTGTTTTTATTTTCTTGGGTTTGTAGTCAGCACTAAGAACAGAAAGACTTGCTGATAAAAGCAATCCATTTTCCAGAGGAGTCATACGTGTGCTAAGTTTGTCTGCATAAGTTCACAGTATTTCTGGCACGTTCAATTTCTAAAGAATATCATTTCACGTCCCACTCTCTCAGAAGACTCAATAACCCCAAATCCAGCACAACAGCCTACCAAACCCTAAGAGCCATAAGCTGTTTCTGTGAATACCTCTTCACAAGTTCCAGACTGCTGAAGAATTGATTCAAAAGCATTAGTAGCCACTCAGTGATTACATGGGATAGGATAAATGGGTAAAACCTTAGTGACATGTTCTATCCTAACTCTTTTTCCAGTCCTCAGTCTCAGATCTGCCCACAAGGCTCACTTTTTGCATCCCCCACTAGTTCAAACAATAGCAAAATTCACTACTGGCAAATTCTTAATCTTTCCATTGCAGACATGAGATGGGAGGTCACACAAACCTAACAGAAGGCAGCAGATGATTACACGAAAGATGTCCCACCCATCTCTCTTAGAAACTGAGACACACCACACAGGAACCGAATGCCACCATGGTTAAACCCTTCCCACCCTTGAACTCTTCACTGCTAATAAGGTCAAACTAAAGAGCTGGATGGACATAACGACAGCTCACAGCAAGATGTAACTGGGCTTTTCTTTACTGGGTGGGTTCCTGTATCAGGCAAACATCATACGTGTTTTTCTCTTAGAGACAACAATCCCCAGCATAACCCACGACGTACTTAAACTCGAGGCAAACCTCCTCCTGCCTCCAAACAGGCTGACAGTGCATTTTATTCCTCTAGTGCAGTCATTTCCTCGCCCAACAGAAACCACTGCAGCCACTTAGCTACGTTAATGCCTCACTTGCTCACGTTTCTCTTTTAAAACAATCTTCATCAGTGCCTTTACCTGCCTTCTGGGGTTTTTCTTTTTTATTTACCAGTTCTGCAACGTTTCACAGCACCATCTGCAGAAGCAGGTAATGACATTTTGCATCGCACACCACAAACACTATCCTTGCCCTGCTCAGAGAACTCATAACACTGTAAGGAGTCTGGTCTCAGATCTCCAGTCACCCACCTTAACAATGATGACCTGAAATCCCACCTGCTCCCTCAATGGTCTCGTGCTAAAAGTAAAGGCAAACACCCAAGTCACGAGCACCCACAGCACTTACTCATCATCTTCTCGAGGTCTCTTCAGAGGTTTGGAGTCTTCTTTAGGAGATGCATAAAATCCATCGTCATCTGGTTCATCTTTAATACGTGGGGGACTACAACAAGAAGCAAAGAAAGGTGGTTCTAAAGTCAAAGAGGAAGTTTCTAGGAAACCAGAAACAAGTCAGTTTTAAGAAATCATCATCTGCAAAATGAGCATGTCTTCCAGTCCTGGAATGAGCTGTCATCTTAAAACCTCACAGACCTGAGGCGTGTCAGTCTCTGCGTACCCACAGTGTAGAGAGAGACACATTCAACGCCTGTGTGTTTGCCATTTCTCAAGCAACGTCAATTTCAATGGCTCAGAGTTCACTTTGTTTCTTTGAGGTTTTGACTAAGAACAACTGTAGCCTCCAGCACTTTCAAATATACTTAAAACTGAAATGCACATGTGCAGTCAAATACGGGACATTGCTCAGTTTCAACTCAATATCCTTATTGAGCCTGCTAAGAGAGAAAAAGATTAACAACTAAACAAAGATTTGAAAGCTGCTCCCTGGAATATTTTGCTAACTCAATACTGAGGCATGTGAAAACCAGAAAAGAAACAAAGATTTGGCAAAGTTAAATGGATCAGTCTCTTTTCACCATCCAAACTGCGGGAAGCAAACAATCCTGTGCCTTTCAACAGACCACAGAGTTAGGCTCAGTGTTTTCAGCCACAACGTCCTAAGACATTAGTAAGAAGTCAAAAAATAGAGTGTGAGTGCAAGAGAGACTATTCCTCTAAACAAACTCATTATTTCCAGATTTCACAGCAGCATTTCACTGATCTTCATAAAGAAAAATATGTCTCAAAGAGTCTAAAATTACATTTTGAAGCACTTAGTGCCATATTGGGCTTTCTTATTCATATTCCATCAGCAATTTCTATATCAAATTGACTCAGTTTCCAAGTCAACATGCGGGTTTTGCAATAGGATGGAGTGGGAGAAAAAAAAAAAAGCAGCATCCAGCTTTGTAGATCGCAGTCAGCAAGAGACATTCTGGAGTCTCATGTTAGCTGGTAATGTGTCCATGAAGCAGAACAAGGCAGTTTGCTCCTTCACAGCTCTAAAGCCACTGCAGTGCTGGAAGATGCAGCTCAGGGGAGATAGCTACAGGCTGCTCTAAGGAATCACTTCTGTGGCATTGCCTATAATTAACTAAGACAAGTCTGCAGCACATAGACAGTTGCGAAACATCTATGGAAAAAGAGGTATTTGTCTCGTTTAATGTATTCTCCCTTCCAGGCAGAAATGTAGAAGTACTGTGTGTACAGTCACTAGGAATTTTATCTAGTCTATTTTAACACTGAAGTATTTTGCAGCATTCTGTAATGGGAGAAATAAACTGTGATTCCAGGAAAAGAAAGGAGCTGAATGACCAAGCTGAACCTTGACTTGCATTGTTTCCAAAGGCTGTAACATTGCTCATCGTACCAAGTCTTAAGGAACAAAATCAAAACCATCTGAGTGAGGACAGCTTTTTTCTGGTGAACTTGTAAAAGAACATTTCAGCAAGGAAAAAAAAAAAAAAAAGGAAGAAAATAATTCTCTTAGCCAGCATTTGGCCCAAAGAAGGCACAGGGCCATCATACAATTGTGATGGTCCTCCAGGCTTTTCTAAAACACATGAAAAAATGCTCTTGGACCTAGAGAGGACTCAGTTACCTTGATACAAGAACATCCAGTGTCCCTGGTGAGATTAGCACATCATGCAATTCTGCTGAACAGCAGAGGCTAGAAAGAGCTATTGGCTGTCTCCTACACAATGAAACACCTAAATGTCATGGCATGCTACTTCCAGAGTATCCCCCAAAGGGCCTGGAGATGGCGCCTCTTCCCTGCGCCAGACCCAACTCCTTCGTCTGCATTTTTAAACAGGAGCAGGGAAACGAAACAGATGGAGAAACTCGTCAAAGGGCACATTCAAAACACCCAAAGAATAATTAACACGCAAGGACCAGACAGGTGTCTTCTCCCAAACCGCTCTGCATCCACAGAACGTGGTGAGACTTGGAAGGATTTTGTTTGTTTGGGGTTTTTTTTTCCCCAATAAAAAAGCATTTTATGAAAAGTGATTCATAAAACTAGACACGTGACTGAAAGCTTTGCTTGACCAAGAGAGATGGTTGCATGCATTCACCACAACACAGCCCTCCAGCAAATCAGTGGACCAGATTTAGCACCTTAAACACAACCAATGGGTGGATTTAAAACAAGTCACAAGAGATTTCGGTCGACAATTAAGAAAAAACACTCTTCTATCAATTGCTCACTTCAGGTTTTTACTAAGACTTCTTCGTCATGACTGATACCACACCAAACTCCGCAACACTCTACTATTAGCAGGAATTCAGTACTAGAGTAGAGCATCTATGCATTTCCTGAAGGTACTTCTGATGTTACAGATCTAACCTCCTTACTCATCACTCCTCTCAAAGGCTTTAGGCTGCAGTCACGTACAGCAGAGACACTCAGAGGCAACCTGGACTGGCTTTCCCAGGCCCTGTCTCCAGCAGACTGCTGCAGGGTTCCAGTCCCATTTTTACAACAGAGGTTCTTTCCAAAGCAGCTACCAGAGTGTCCACAGTTCAGTCTGTCCTTTGTAGAACCCAACCATTTACTACTCAGACAAACCCAGCACGTGCAGGCAGACACCAGGTATTCCACAGCTCCAATCTTCTGTTACCAGGTAAGCAGATCTACCAAGTCCCATCTTTCAGAAGAATATATCTTCTGAAGGGCTTAAGTGTTCCATTTATTTCTCGAAACCAAGTGAAAGGAATCAAACACTGAACACCTAATAAAAGTCAAACTGCAGCTTTTTTTTCAGATCATAGACCTGATTTCTTACCTGGAGAAACCATTTTCCTTTTCCTTCTTTATTTTTATATCACCAGAAGACAACTTCATCTGAAAAACATAAAAAGCAGGAGCTGATTAGCACCTCCCAGAGCACCTTGTGTTTTTCCAACATACAACACAGGCAGGATATTTAACTTGAGAAGGAAACCAAAGGGCACTGTGACCATCTTCATCCTCTGTAGTCCTTGGTGACCTACATGACAGACCAAAAAGGCAACATTTTCTGCAAGTCTTAGTCAACTCAGTATCTTTTGGCCTTCCAATTTCTACAGCAGATTGGAGTTAAGTATAGAGTTTATCCTTGCATGGCCTGAACATGTTTTTCTCCCTTGTCTCTGAACCTAAGCTTGGCAAAGTGAAAAGTAACATGGGAAAAATTGTGGAGCCAGCAGACACAGCTCCACTGTGGAACTGTTTCCATTCACAATACCTGCAGATAAAGCCTTTACAAGTTCACATCTAACACTCCACAAACCAAGTGTCTGGGTTAGTGTTGGGATAACTCTCTTCAGGCTGATAGAAACTTGGAAGTATAAGCTACACCTAACCCACTGAGTTTGTACCACTCAGCAGTATAAGCCAGATCCACCCTCTTGTCTCTCCCACAGGAGACACCCACCTTCTCTTCCTTTCTCTTCTCCTTGTCTTTATCTTTGTGTTTGTCTTTGTGTTTCTCTGAGCTGCCATCTTTGTGTTTGGTTTTCTCCTTGTCTTTGTGTTTCTTTTCCGAGGAATCTTTGTGCTCACTGCAAGACAAGAGACCATGTTTGCAGATGGGAACACGAGGAGATTTGACTAATACACATAATTTCCAGTGCTAGAGTCATAGGTTCTGATGATTACAAATCCTAAAAACCAAGGGATCACCTTAACAGGAAGATCCACCAGAGTCTCCTGTCATCCATTCTCCTTAGGGGGAAGAGGAACAGGAGGTGAACATACCACAAAACCACAGTGGCAAAGTGCTCCACTTCAGGAACCCCCCCATCAGCCTGGATTGCTGAGGAGATCCACAGCTGCTAGACTTAAAAGATCAACACTTTAGCTTGAATTCCCACTGTGTCTCCCTTTCCTCTTTTCCCTAGTCCACGTAAAAGGTCACTGGGATAGAGCCGCCGGTCCCGTCAATGCCCATGTCAGCTTTTGCTCAGACAACAGTTTGTCATTGTAGCAGCTCTCATCTCTGGAACTTAAAGAGAAAACCGCTGATCTCTATTATTCCCAAACAGATGGGAAAACCAGAGCAAACAGGATATGTGGTGTCCTTGTGTTTATGCAAAGTCAAACAGAAAAGGCAGGAATAATGCTGCAGTCCTCGGTCGGAGCTGTTTCATCAACTGTGCTGACCACCACGGCCAGACCAGCTCTGCTCTGCTGAGACAGCCCCAAAGGTGCTTCCCAGGGAGAATCTGGTCTGCTACTACTCTGCTGTTATGGAAAACAGCATTGGGAGTTTAAATACCTAACATTTTTAGAGAAAACAGAGGAGAAAATGCCCCCAAGGAGAAGAAAATCAATCTTTATTACTTTGTTTCTACCCCCTTCTGATTTCCGAGACATTCAGGTAAATTTGTATCGCATTTCCAAGCTTTCCTTATCAACCACAAAGACACATGGCTGCTCTCAAATGAAAATGAGGTTTCTCACAGAATGACTTGACCCTTGAAGCCAGAAAAGTGAAGGAATGCTCTCAGGAGACTCAGGATAGAAACGTCAGGAACTGGCCACAAGGATTAGCAGCAGTGGTGCGGAAGCCAAGCAGCAAGCCTGGCAATTCCACCAGCCTTCAGCACACACTTACTAGGTAGTGTGGCCTCCTGAGGTCACCCCAGGCTCTAGCAATCCAAAGGCACAGTGGAAATCAGCATGGGCAGGCTGCCTTCCTCACTGGCAGCTCACACTCTCCTTCCTCAGCACTTGGCTCCTGCCCTCTGGGACATACTCTGCTTCTCCCTAGGAGTACACAATGCAACACAAAGCTGCACTAGAAATAGGCAATTTCCTTACGTCACTTATTCCCACACGGAAGTGTAAGCCCAGACCAATCTGGGTGAACACAGCCCTGAGAAACAGCAACCCTGGAGCACCAGCTAGGAGAGCGATTTTTAAAAATCATACATGCTTTGAGATTTCTTTCTGTTATAAAAACAGATTGCAAAGAGTTGGATGCTTGATGGCTGCAGAGAGCAAGAACCACATTAACCAGCTGATGAAGAGCAGGAGAACCACCGTCACAAATACACCAACCCACGATCAGCTGTGCAACTGCAAAGTCCAACGTGGATAAATGCACCTGAACCTGTTAAAGGCCTAAATTATTCAAGCTCAGAGTAGCACACACTCCAATAAATACACACTGGCCTTCCAAGCACAAGCAGTTAAAAGCATGAAAATCTATCTCCAAAGGAAATCAGTATATTCATACTACGTCACATTAAGAGATTGGCAGGAAGATAAACAAATTTCATGTTAACTCTCTAGCAACCTCTTCATACAAAGCTGCGAGGGAGTATCTAAACATCAAAAGGCACTTGGCACTCTAGAAATTCTTGCAGCTAGACACACAGCACCACATGTTGCCTGTGAGCAAAGATTCAACAACTGCAGACTATTCTTACCCAGCAGATCATGTTATGCACAGTGTGATCAGGACATGCGAGTACACACACAGAACATCCTGACACTGGATCTCGGAGCCTGCTGCTCTTGCTCAGATTTGTCATCCCAGTTTCTATACTCTGTTTATTATTGTTTCAAGCTCAAGACACCTATTTAATCTTCCTTTGCTCCAACCAGATTCACTGATTGTCAGTACAAACCCCACACATTACTAGGCATTTTTAAACTAAGGAAGGTTTGGAAATTCTGACTTCATGTCTTGCACTTGTATCTACATGCTATATACCAGATTTGACAATTGAAGAGGTATTTCAACCTTCATATAATATCCATAATAATAATATTCCGTAACAATAATCAACCTTCATTTATCAATCCAAGCTGTGCCTGCCCCATCCCTGGCAGTGTCCAAGGCCTGGTTGGATGGGGCATTGAGCAACATGGTCTGGGTGAAGATGCCCTTGCCCATGGCAGGAAGGCTGGAACTACAATAATGTTTAAGGTCCCTTTCAACCCAAACAATTATGTGATTCTAACATACATGAAAAATCAAAACAAACACACACACAAGGCTTAGATCCATTTTATTCTTTGCAAGTTTGCTTGGTTTTGACTCTTGTTCTTACTCAGTATTTAAATCCTACCTGAAATAATATCTTTTACTCACATGATAATTTGCATCTTCAAAGCACAGTACACACTGCAATGGCTGGAGTTAGTGCCCTAAGGTAAAGTTTGTGGCAGTGGCTGTTGCTTGGGAGTTTGGAATAGCAAAAAAAAGAGACAAAAAGAGCCCGGGGTGTACAAAAAGTGTGACTAAAAGCAGATTAATAGGTGACAATCTACATCTGCAAAGCTGAGATCGAAACAGAAAAAAATCCTATTGGCCTAGAGCAGCAGTGATGATTCTTCTGTGTGCTGAATGCTTACAGACTACAGCTGGAATAAAAACATGCTAAAAACTTAGGTTTGCTTAAGCAGAAGCTCGAATGACATCCCTCTCACAAGTGGCCACCATTGCAAAGCTGTTGTGCAATCTGATTTCAAGCTCAGATTTTTCAGCACCAGAGTCTGGTGCTGAAAGCAAGAAGTCTAGATTCCTGACTCAGTTGTTGGTTTTATTTTAGTTTTATTTTTTAATCACAAGACTGTCCTTCCCCTTTGCTCTGCAATGAGCAGTAAATTTCTCACCCAAGCAATGCGGGCTCAGATAACCCAAGGAAACTCTGTCTCCAGTTTCACTCTGCAGCTTCATTTTCCAAAGATGAGCACTGGTGGACTGGCCCTGAGGTCCTGCTTGCTGCTGCTCTCACTGACTGGAGGAAATTCCCTAGATAAAAACCTGATTTTGTGTGCTATTTGCTTAAATGTTAAAGAAAGAATTTTCTTTCCCTTCTTTGTCAGCAGCCTGCTTGTCAGCCCTGTGTGTTTCTAGACACTGGACCACAGCTCTGACTTCAACAGCTCAGCCCACAACTTTGACACATGCATTGAGGAAGGTTTGTGCTCCTCTTCCCTAGGAGGGAAGGAAATCTGCATCTCCCAGAAAGCTCACTTGGAAATGAGCTGATAACAAAGGCCTCCAGCAACAATCCTGAGAAGAGCCATTTCTTTTTTTTTCCTCCCAAAGCAAAGCAAGTTGTTCAGATATTAACTTCAGTCAAGCTGAGCAGCTTTGGTCTTTCATTTGGCTCACATACATATGTGAGCCTTGGGGAACACAATTTAACCACCATGCTAATCTCAAAAGAAAAGAGAAGGCAACAGGATGCCATCCTTACCCTGAAGAAGGAGTTTCAGCCTTCTATCAGAAAGCTATTTCCAGAGAACCATAAAGCTATTATTAGGAAGGACTGGGAACAATTTAAAGATCAGAAGTCTGTCTTCCTGGTCAATTCAAAACTGGAAAAAAAGAAATCCCTTTTCTTTAAAGGAACTAAGCGAAATGGCCTCAAGACCACATGCACACGGCTAATTTTATCTTGAATTCATGTTTCAGAGCACTGTGAATCCTTTGTTACCTTTCCTGCGCATACCTCTCTGCCAACAAGCCAGCTTGGAGGCACAGAAGTAGGACAGCAAAGCCCCCATAAAATAGAGGGAAGCTTCAGGGCAAGTTAGCCTGAAAAGAGGACAACTGGATCATAACAACTGCCCATATCCAGCCCCAAGGACAAAAATAAGATATTTCCTTTCACCCAGACCACTGCAGCAGAACCACTGCAACAGCACTTGGAGTTTTGTATCTCTTGAAGGTGTTTTATCTGACAATCTGGACTGTTAGGATTTTTTTTTTTTAAAGGTAACAAAGTGCAGTAGGAGATCATATTAGCACGGGCAGAAGCAGGGATTACATCATCTACAGATGTATTGTGGCACTGGCTTCGCTCAGACAAAGGCCAGGTGAGCAGAAACACATTGCCTAAAGCACTACATCCTTTGCTGGCTTGCTCACTGCCCTCCACTTAGAGATTTGGTGTGAACAGGGACATCCAAAGGCCTCAGAGAGCTCGGGCTGCAGTGCACCAAGGTGGTAGCACATCAGACAGAGCCGTTTCCCTGGGAAGCTGTGTTTCCCAGCAGGATGCCTGCAGGAGCACAGGGCCAGGAAGGGAGCCCAGGCACCTGGCAGCAGCTGCTCAGGCTGAGATCACATGGGAAAGTCACAAGTGGAAAGTGTTTCCAAAGAATGGCAGATGTGCAGATCACAGCTTCCCCCTTCAAACTGCAACAGCTTTGCAGTAATTTAACACTGCATTCTTCAGGTGCCATTTATGTACGTTAATAATCCCTTCCCAGGCCCTTTCCATTCCAGCTTCAAAACCACAAGCTGGGAAGGATGCTTTATCTAAAGTGTCTCTTATTTCCCCTCTCTCTCTCATACTCTCAGCTGTAATTAGCTCACGACTGGGAATCTGCTACTAGCAAGCACCAGAGCCTGCTGCAAGCAGAGCTCTGCCTACTCTGGAGCTGCTAAAGTGCAACTGAAGCGTAAAATAACAGGAGTTGGGATTTTAGTGAAACCTAAAAACACAATGGGGACAGAGCACAGGTTACACAGCTCGTTTGACGTAATCCAGTATTAATGGCAACCTGTGATCACATCCAGCACACCAAGGAAGGGCTGCACGTGCAAGGACCATTTCCAGAGCAGAAGCATCCCAGGGAAGGGCAGGATTCTAGCTGGCTCACAGGACTTTATGCTGTTAGAGGGTTATCATATGGTATTACAGGGAATGAACACGTGAGCCCCAATGATTCTGCTGGGATTCTGGCAATACAATTAAACAACCTGAAACCATTTTTCCCAGTGTTGAAAAGAGTCTTTTCAGCAGTTTCACAGATAACGGATCAAGCCTTCAGCCAGAGGAACAAGATAAAAAAAAATTGGACTAATCAACAGCTGATAAAGATGTTAGAAAGTAGAACAACATTAGTACATTGAGATGAGGATCATTAGCATACACTCTCTATGGACAGGTGAGAATCAGGCACTACTAAATAAAAAGCAAATATTTTTACTACTGGAAAGCACTGCCACATTAGAAAGCTGATCAAGGTGAACTGCACACTCAAATGGGGTATAAAAACAACCCCACCCATGCCAGAGAACAGCAGGTGCTGAAGTCTTTTTTTAGAACTGTCTTTTCTCCTACATCAGGTTATCCCTGCTCCTTCCTGCAGCCAATGCACACCATTCCCAGCAGTTCAGGACCACACAATAAACCAGAGGAGGTGTGCGAGAAGTCTGAACTGCAACTTATCTTCACCCATGACTAGCAAACGCCTGGAATCTCTGTTTCTCCTGGCAAAACCATAAAACTTAGAAGCTGCCAGTGAAGATCAGGTCTGTGAATTCCTTATGTGTTCCACTTGGTTCATCTCAAGCTGTGATCACAAGAGATTTAATAAATGGAGAAAATATGCAATCTGACAGAAGATTTTCTTCCTGCAGCTCTGATGCTTGCCATGCTGACAGCATGGATCAGTGCTGTGAGAGCAGCCTCTTTGCTCCCATTGCCTGTCACAGCCCTCTCTGCTCTCCCCAGGCTCCTGGCAGCTCACACTCCATGCACAGAGCCCAGGACACCTGGCAGACAGACACCTGTTACTGGAACGTTTCTAACCTGATCCCTGACAAGTCTTGGGCTTCAAAGGACCCATTATTCCATTCTTTTACATGGTCTACTTGTCTGAAACACTCAACCCCCACAGATCAGAAACCTATTGCCACGTGGGATGTTTCATTTTATTTTTTCACCACTGACATTCGTATTTAATGGATGTGCATTGGATTTTTGCTTAGGGATTGGGAAGTACAGGGCTGAGAAAAGGAGCAAAAACACCCACTTTGCTTGATGGAGATTGCTTGCTAGCAGTGTGGATTTATTCTTTGATATAGATTTTTCTTCAGTGGGCTCTGCATTTTCTTTCCTCGAGGGGTGACAGGGAAGATCTGAGGCACAAAAATGTTCTCTCCCAGTTTACTACAGCTGTAAATGAGTGGTTAAGACACAGAAGTGTCATCTTGTGAGTGGGAGAGAAGGGAAGCAAGAACCAAAATTAAGAAGTTCTACATACCACTCCACACACTTCTGTCATATGAAATCAAAATTGTCTATTTTAGGTATTTTGGAGACTTATCTTGGCAGTTTATGTCCTTCAAAGTCTGGATACAGGAAGCATTTATTCTCCTGCATTGGAGTTTTTCTGCCTTCTTGATGCAGGTTTTATTTTAAAAGCCTTTTTTAAGTACAGGACAGGAAATGAAACTGTCAAACTATTACAGACAGACACAAAACTGATCTGCTTCAAACACAACCACACACTGCTCTTAACTGTGCATGATGTGCACTGTACTTCTCAGAATGCAATCAGGTACTCTTCACACACCAGGTATAAAATGTCACTGAGGTATAAATTCAAGTCCCCTAGAGAACAATGGCTTGGATTTCTGCTAAAGCACCATTCAACCTCTTTGAGAACTACCAAAGACACAGCACATCCTCTGCAGTAACACAGCAGCTTTTCTGAAATGTAGAATGGATTTTCTGCAGATTTACACGCAATTCTATTAATCTAAGATAAACTTTTCTAAAAGATTAATTTACAGCCTTTTATCAAGTGCTTTGAACATTTCCCATGCAGGTAAAACCCATTGGAAAAACCCACAGTCTTGTTCCCCTGAGAATTTTTTTCTTTAATTTCTAACAGAGTAATGGCTATTTTTCACTTGGTTTTCATTGTCAAAGGAGAAACTTGAGTACAAACACATAGGGTTTTTTCCTTCAAACCATGGCCACCTAAAATCTGACCCTCACAGACACAACTTACACTTATATGGAATTACAGGGATGACAGCTGAATCAAAGGATTTATGGAACAAATACTTAAATTTCAATTATTTCTAGGAAGTTCCAGTTAAAACTCAGCTGGTTTTACACAGCAAGCAGTCACGTACCCTGTGCATGACCAAACATGAGTAGGGCAGTGAAGATTCTGGAGCAGAGCTGAAGGAGTGATCTGACCACACGTGTGCCAGGATATGTTGCCATCCCTGAGAACCACCTTCCAGACTGGATTCTCATGATTCAGCACTATAATATATTCATTTTTAAGGTGGAAGCTTTGAAAGGCAGAAAACACTACAGAAAGCTTTTGGCAAGCCATGAGCTCAGCCTGGGGGAGTGAAGTCCCACCTGGTGTAGGGGCCTGAGAGGCAAAGCAGTATTATGTCATCTCTCCCCAGAAACACACCTTGGACAAAACCCCTGCACATCATTTGTCCAGTCATGCCACCCACAGAGCTGTACCCTGTTGTGGGACCCAAGGATGCAGCACACACTGTGCTCACAGGACAAATGAACACTTACTGCATACATGAAAACAACTGGGAGTGTTAGGCACTGAGCCTAGAAAACATGTTACCTTTCTCACAGGGATTTCAAGACAATACAGGAGGGAGGGAGGAAGTACTTCAAGATAAAGCCTGATTACATATCACCTCCTGGGCTACACCTCACAGGACATAGCAGCCATTCTCTCTTCTTTCCCCTGTTTTGGTATTTATTCCTTGCACAATCAGCTGTGTGCAGCTTCAAGTGATGAGCCATAATTAGTCCTTCCAGTTAAAAATACACTGACCATTTCCAACTCCTACACAAATAAAGTCAAATCATTAATGAATCTGCAAAGTTAAAGACAGTGTTTACATTACTCCTTGCAAAAGAATGTACTCAGCTAAGACTGCAGGAGAATTGTTTTTCAAGTGAAGCAACAAACATTTGGGACTGTGAGGTATTCAGTTTTGGGGTGAATGTTTGATGATCAGGAAAGTGAAAACCAGAAATCAAGGCAATCTAGATGTGTGAGCAAAGAAGAGTGCAAACAATTTGTCCAAAGCACTTCATCCTTGTTGTGGAAGCCAATAAATTCAAGTTATTTGGCCTAGATTTTTTTCCCCCACCAATCATTTACCTTCAAAAAAGAAAAGACGACACATTATGGAACAGTGTGGCTTGTGTAACTTCTTAAAAGGTCACAGAAAATTCAAACCAAGTGTGACCCCAATAAAACAAACCCAGTGCTCTGCACAGACTCCTCCTTTCCATGCTTCTTTTAAACAGAAATCATTGTTAACACAAGCTTTTTTGTTCCTTTTTGGATTGTGTTATCACAGTTGCACAGCAATTAGTTAATACACTTGTCTGCCCTAAGCATGAAACAGTATCTGCCATTCACCAAGCGTCACAGCAGAAACTTACCCTCCAGGGTCCTGTTCATTGCAAGTTTCAGTGGCAAGGTAGGCTCTGTGGCACTTGTGTGTCAAGGAGTTACAACGAGGACAGCTTCTCTGAGTAACATCCTGTGTGTGGTGTACTTGCCTCAAGCTCCACCACACTAAATCATCACAGACAGACCTGCACATCCTGGTCCCTGCAGTTCACAGCCTGGGTGTGAACAGGTCATCACAGGATAATTACACGTTTATGTTCAGTGTGGGTGACATGGCAAGTGACTGGCATCAAACCTTCCCCATACAGTGGAAGTGTAGTCTATAAATCATATCAGACAAAACAGCACACAAGCCTTACAAATTCATCATCTAACCCAGCACAAGTTCACAGTGCTGCCTCACACAGCTGAGACACCCAGCCACTGTGGTGGCAGGCCAAGGACATCACCATTGTTCTGGGGGACCATCTTTCCAGACACTCCTAACCATGAGAAGGCTTAGTAGCCACGTGGGGTTCACTATGCTAAAGCAGTGGGGTTTATTCCAACATGGAAGAGGGCTCCACATTTCTCACAAACGACTGGAACCACACACAAAACATTATGAAGAAAACTGATCAATCTGCATGAAGGTGGGGTTGGACTACTTTTCAACACCTATAGCAACACCAAGCTATAATAATCTTTTATACATTAGTATCTGCTCACATTTGCAAGATACTCTGATTTAGTCACCCGTATAGAAACGCAGGCAAGGACAGAGGTTAAGCTCAAAGCACCTACACTCATATAAACCACCCTCAAAATGTAGCAATTCCATACTCATTTATTATCAGAGTCATTCCTGTAAGACTGCATGTGCAGGGGTGTTTTAGCCTTCCAGGACTTCCATCAACTTCCTCCTCACCTATTACTGTGCTTGGACTTTTCCCGGTCTTTTTCCTTGTCCTTCTTGTGCTCTTTGTGCCGGTGTTCTCGGTCTTTGTGTTTATCTTTGTGTTTGTGAGAATCTGTAAGCAGAGAGGCAAAACAAAAGAAATTAAACTGGGAGGAAACTCCACACCTCCCTCGTGAACTTCTGCGTTTTTCCCCACCCCATAGTAGTATTTCTGTGATTCAAAATTTGTGACAAAAATCTTAGTTTCAGAGGTCCTAAATGGACTCATTGTTCCTGCAGCACAAGTTAATTCATCTTGGCAACAGCTGCATCTACATGGTCTTCAGTTCAATGACCTTTAAATACTTTACAGACCCTGAAGAAATGTAACCCTTCCACTAACTAGGTACACATGGCTACAGCAAGTTCAACCTTGTTTGGCAGATGGTCAGCCAGGCTTCCTGTGCCTCTAAGTATTTCAAATACATGATTAGGATACAGGAACAAAGCATAAAGCTAAAGTGTTAGGCCTGCTGAATCCCAGAATTTAGATTGCTACTTCCACACTATGTAGTCTAGACAAAGCAACCCTCCCTTCTCCCCCCTCTGAATTAAAACCATTTTATTCTTCTCCCCAACAGTACATGACAGGCAGATAGCAAGGAAAAAGGTGAATAATGGGGGAAGATGAAAAGAGAAGGTAAAAAGAGGACTAGGAATTCACTCCTCCTGCAGAGACACTTACCTCCCTCTGATAACAGCCACACCAAGAAAACCCAACCCGACAGCTGTAATGAGCTGTGTTGGTGGTTACCCACCTACACAGGTTAGGGCTGGTCCCAATTATGTGACAGGTCAGAAATGGGAGTTGGCACTCAAGTGAATCTATGTGAACACAGTAATTTTATTGCTATCAGTTTCTACTCTGAGTGACATTTCCCATCCTCAGTGGCAACTGTACTATACAACAAAGCCCTTTAAACCAACAAGGAAACAGATTGAGCACAGAAGAACAACATAGTTCAATTGTAAACAAACTCGTTTACAAGCATTTTTCGGTCCTTAAATGTTCTTTTAAGCAGATTAAAAAGGAGCTGAGGCTGAACTAGCACCTCACAAGGCACTGCCATTTACAGACAAGGTCACTGTGATGTTGGGAGGAATGTGTGCATCCCCAAAGACTTCCCCAGGGTTTTGTTTTGAACATGCTTCTCAAAGCAACCAAAATTAAGTGAGCTCCTCAGGAAGGCTGTGCTGGAAACTGTCTTCAGATACAGCACCAGAATTTCCACCAGACATCTTGGGTGTAATGCTTAATTAATTGTAAGGATGCCTCCAAAAAGGCTCCTAAGAATAGGAAACTGCAACAAAAGGATTTTGTGACTTTGAGAGTCACATGGGAAATGTACTGCAGCGCCAGGAACAAGCCTCATCCTCCTGACTCCAAGTCTTTCGCCACAAATTCATTTTTCTCCTTAACTGACACCAGCTCTTATAACCTCAAAACATTCAAATGGATTTAGTGGAAACATACCCACAGCCACAGTTCCACAGAACATGACTTTTAACCTATTGCTTTCTGCAACTTCAGGTATTGCTTTCAGACAGTAAGACAGCAAAAATCAACAAGGGAATGCTGATGTTCAAGCCTCCAAGTTGCCTTCTACAGCTTTCCTCCATCCTCCTGAGCTTGGCGACGCTTCCCAGTGCTTTGGTGTACACATCAACAGCACAAGATTTAGTCTTCTATATTTTGATACACAGGCACGTGGCAGGTTATGTGGAACATTTGGTGTTATAGCATAAGGTACCTAAGAGTTTTCAAGTACCTAAAGAGCAAAATCTCTTTCACAGCAGGCAGAGCTTTGCAGGCATCTCTGGCAAACTGTGTGGGGACCGAACACCCACACACTCTGAACTGCCGAGAAGCAATTCCTCCGAACTCTTCTTCCCACCAGGACAACACACATTTCACTGGCAAAAAAATGTTTTCGCAGTGCATTTCACACTTATGATTCCTCAGTTCAGCCAGGAGCTGGAAGCTCAGGCTGTTTGCAAACTGCCTGGGGTTTATCCCACAGAGGATTTACTCACTGATTCCTACAGCAGGCTGCAGCAAACAACTATTTACTCTTGATGAATAGGTAAACTGCGAGAGAAACCATCGTGCTGCTAAACATAGAACCCTGTGCAGTCACTTTAGAACACACTTGCTTTTCAGGGAGGCACATACCAACACAGAATCAATTTTTTTCTACCAACCAATCGATGGAAAACACGTGCAATTGCTCTCAATGCCGTTGTCTTTTAGAGCTTAGATCCACAGGGTGACTTCTCATAAAAAAAAGCAGAAACCAGAACAGTTTACCTTGATCGCTATATTCCCTTCCAGATGACTTGTGCTTTACAGCTGAAATTAATATTTGCTCTTGAAAAGCAGTTCCAGGGCCATACCCTGTAAGTGCTGGAGTCAGACATCCATTTCCTCAATCCCCAGCACTGCTTACAATGATTTGGTATTTTCAGACAATTAGAGCCTGGTACTGCAGCAAAAAAGTGCCTGACCAGTTAAACGAGCTCTGCTTGCTGGGATTTGTTGCTGGACAGCTTTCCTTTGCCATCAACCAAAGGATTTCTGGCAGGAAGGTGTTTCTAGCCCAGAAGTTATCTGGCTCAGAGGCAGCCACAGGGGCTAGGGAACAGGAGGCTGTGCACATGCCCTTGAAAGCAGGAGGGGAAAAAAATGTCCAAGGCAAAGGTACTTGGTGTCTCTCACAATGGACAACACTTTAAATTTAGTACTTCCATGGAGGTCTACCTCCCAGGCATGTCTCCTAAGAATTAAATTACTCTGGAATATTTGCCTAGTATTCAGACTCCATGGTGCTGCTTTCTGACACGATGCCATGAGGTAGGCTAAGAATAAAGACTTCAAAAGAGTTTATTAAATAGTCTCGAACCAACATATGTATGTCCTCAGAAAGCATTAAAGCTCTTGGTCTTTCTTTTTTGTTGAGGGTGGAGCTGGATGCAATTCAGGAGACTGGATCATTAAAAAGGACAGAATTCTTTTTTTTGGCATTCTACACAAAAATGCTTTGTTCCAGACTGGCTTCAGCTAGGAGTCCAAGTCGATGGTTATTTGGTGGCTGCCATGAAACAAGCTGAGCCATTTCACTCCCATTTGTGTGCCCACTTCCCAGGAACCAGTGCAGCATCACCTCCAACTGAACTGCAGAGGCCACAGATGACCGAACTGGGAACTGGGCCACCTCGCACCAGCCTCATCAACACAGAGGCAATCAACGGGAAGTGCTCCCGCCTGTAATATATCTTCCTTGATATATTTAGCATATTGATTCCTAGAAGAATCTTCCAGCCTCCAGTAACTCACTCACAGCTTGCAGCTGATTAGCAGTAAGGTCTGACATTACTGCACATGCAGATTTGTTTCCTGCCTGTTATGTCTTCCATTAAGTATGTCTGTTCCCTCTAACACTAAACAAGGAGATAAATACTATTCCTTCTCCAAAAACATAAGCAAAATCCACTATCTATTGTGAGCAAGTTCAAACCCCCAAAAGCTTGTGTGGTATTTAAGTATTTCAGAACACACGACATCTCTCTTCAGCACCAAGGTTTCAGCAGGGACAGGGGTTATGCTCACTGGGCAGGGATCCATTACCCCTGAGGCTTTCCCTTCAGTATCCTCTAACCCAAACAGAGCTTTTGGCACCTCTTCTGTTCTAGAAAGCTTGATGTCTCTGGCATTGCATCTCTGTGTGTTAACGCTGAGCCTGGTATGTCTCCAAAAGATTACCACAGTCCCTGTACTATTCCTGCCATTCCCTGTACCTCCAACAATCACGAGCAGCTCTGCATTTTTGTACATTGATTCATCCTTTAACTCTGTTAGATTACAAGGAGGCTGATTTAAGGACGGGAAATTCTAAGCAATTCTGGTCTGTGGCTCTATGCTGTTCCCCCCCTGCTCCAGCACTGAGTCTCTGGGGAAAGGCTGAGTCATAACCCTGTTTGCAATACTTGTATATACACGTAGGACTGGGACAGGGCAGTTTTACTCTTTACCCAGGAACAGAGCTGTAAAAGGTCAGGCATCTCCAACTGCAGCATGGTAAGAACAGAGACAAAGTCAAAGAAAACCTCTTCCAGCAGGCAGTTGTCACCTGGAGAGGAGGAGTCCCCACAGACAGCCAAGGTGAGTGCTTGATCCCCTTTCAGAGAGAACAACCCTTGGCTTAATTAGCCTGATGACAAAACAACTATGTGGGACTGCTAATTCATGAGACATTCATTTGCTTTCAAAACACTTCTGAACACCCATCTCTGCACACCTCCCAAAGTACTACTTACATGTCACAACCATCAGGCTACTTCCTACAGTAATATTTCAGTTTTGACAGCAACTTCTCTAATAAAATACTGAAATCAGAGAGGGCCTAAGTTCCTGTAGGCCCAATCAGTACAGCTGTCAAGACAGTATCACTGGCACATGATATAGGATACTACAGATGCCATTTTATCCCACTCCCACCACCCACTTTTAACCCACTTCCATCATTTTGCATTAGAATCTCTCTCTTTCTGCTTGTTTTGTTTTTTTAAGAACTGAGAAAAAAAGATGTGAGCACAACCTGGTTCCTTCTTATTTCTCCCAAATTAAGTGAGATAGCTGGCAAATTAACACCTGGTAACCTCAATTTCTGCTCCACAGTAGCCTTTCCAGATAAATATTAGCCTTCCAGATTTGCTGTCTTTTGGTTCATCTTCTTCTATGTTTTTGTGGGCACAATTTGTACAGCTCATTAACCTGCTTACAGAGAGGTTTCTTTGTTCTTTTGAGATGTTTTACTACATTCTGGGGACAAGGACTTTTTGTATTTTCCTTCTGGTTCCAGCAACATCCCAATTTCTTTTCCTCTTGTTAGACAGCCTACAAATGCCTTACTGCTGTGTATGCTGGTGTGTTATCCATTTGAACCCCCATCTCAATACTTCTCTATACCAATGTCCAGAAAGGCGATTTAAGCTTTCTGAATTCTTGGGATCTAAATCTGGGCCCAAATCTGAGAACACAGCATGAAAAATTCATCACATTACCAACTAA